CACACTCTGTCTCTCTAAAAATATAAATAAATAAATAAATAAATAAATAAATAAATAAATAAAGTGGAGTTTCATTATTTTACCAGTTATAACACAATTGTATATTCTTATCTCAGTGTTCTGCCCACAGTTCTTATTGTAATTCCTGAGATAACATATTGTTACAGGTAGATAAGTGAAAAATCCACTTAGTATTAAAGGGTAAAATTTATTCTTACCACTGATCTCAAGCTCAGTGACTCAGTTTATTCCTGTGACAATAAAAAAAAATTTTTTTCTCTGCAAAATTCCCCATCTGAAGGTAAACTAAAATCGGAGGCAGTCTAGAGGGACAAAATTTTCAATTTTCGAATCAGAAAGACCTCAGCCAGGGGTGCCTGACTGGCTTAGTCAGAGGAGCATGTGACTCTTGGTCATGAGTTTCAACCCACATTGGGTGTAGAGATTACTTAAATAAATAAAACTTAAAAAAAAAATAAAAAAGAAAGAAAGAAAGAAAAAAAAAAGACCTGGTATGGAGGCTCAGCTTTGCTATTAAATTGCTGTGTAATCTTAGGCTCTCATGTCTGAACTTTCCTCATCTGTAAATGGAGCTAAAACAGTACCCACCTCATAGGATTTTTTGCCAATATTAAACAGAACAAATAAGTATCTGGCACAGTGTAAATACTTTAAAAGTATTCATTACTATCATCATTACCATCATTATTGGTAATGCCAACTATATGTTAATGCCACACAAAGTTGACCAGACTGATTGAAATTTCCACTTTAACTGTTCACTAGCTTTTTACATGGTTGTTCTGGGTCAAATTTCTGATTTCTGGTTTAATTTCCAAATAGATATAGGCTTTAGAGAAAAAATTGCATTTGGCAACAGTAAACATGCTTCCCCTTTATGGAAAAAACAGTAACTGAAATCAACAGTAAAAATTCATAAATAAATAACTGGCAAGTACAGTTAGCAAAAAAAAAAAAAAAAAACATAAACAATGTCTCAGTTCCCTTTTCTAGTTCTTTGTATTTTTTTCACTTAATTAAACATGTAGGTTGATCTAGTTCTTTGAAAGCCTCTTCATAAATTCACTGTTAATGATTGAGATAGTTTGAGGGTCTTCTCATAGCGCTCTGTGCTTTTTCTTTCTATGAGTCTGCATATGTATTTGTTCTTTTTATTCATTCATCTAAGATTTGTTAGGGCCATTCTAAAGCTATTGATCTTCCATGTCTCTGAAAGAATGGCTAATGTTTGTTTTGTAGATTCATTTTAGATGGTGAAATCCAACATATTGACTATATGAAACTATGATGTTGTGAATATGAATGATCTCTTGGTACACAGACTTTGCTACACTTACAAAGTTCTTAAACAGTTTTTCATGGAGCCCAAGGCATCCTGTTGAGGCATGTCATGAGGTATGCAAGGAGTTCTTTTAGCAAGAATATTTCTTCATAAATTCACTGTTAATGATTGAGATAGTTTAAATGTGTCTACCATATAAAATATAGTGGGATTGAGCTGTGTGTTCTCAGATAGCCACTATTCATGGTTTCCTTACTTGAAGTGATTATATAACTCATCGAATGCTTGTAGCAGGACTCTGAGATGTTTAAAAGAATGAATTCTTTATGCTTGGGATTAAAAAATAAAGTAAAATAAAAAGAGCCATCAGGCTTAGTGATGTGGCCCATGGACTATATCACAAGATTAATAATTAATCAATGGCAATAAAGAGAGAGATTCTCACTGTAAATTCCCCCCCTTACTATTTTGCATTTCTTCTAAGTCCAGACTCATGTAAATTGCTACTTGTCATTGACAAGAGCTGGTGACTCCAAAATAAACCTAGACTGTTGTTTCAAGAACGCAGTTCTTACTATTTTCTATTACTTCAGTGAAAAAAAAAAGAAAGAATTTTTGGTAGTGTGTGAAGGCCCCTGTATTTTTATTGGCTACTTACAAAGTCTCAAAAAATGATCCTTAACCCTTTAAAAATGACCCTATCAATTCATACATTTAGCACAATTTACCAACATTTCCAAACTCAGCATGGAAAAGCCATCAACATGGCACTAGGTCACGGGTCCTGAATGAAGCCGTCAGCAAGGATTAATAAAACTGTGACAGCTGCCCAACAGCTTTCATTCTTTTTATTTAAACATCAGATGGCAAACTGAAATTCAGTGTAATCTTTGTTGAAAGTACCCCAACTTGGAAGAATTCAGAACTGAGAACAGAAGACAGTCGTGGTTATTGTAAATTCAGTATGTACCAATAAATTCTAGAATTCACATATATAGCAACTCCTAAACAATTTCAGAAATAGTATAAACTATTCTTATCTGTTTGAACAATTCTTAGTAGTGATATTTTTTGAAAACTAGATGATGAAATTAAAATTATTTAGCTACAATTTCTATGCGCAGAAAAAATGCTTAATTATTCCTGTAATACCAGCTCTTTCTCTCATATTGTAATTTAAAATCAACTCTAGTTTGACTCTAGTTATAAAATCTACTTCTGGATCACATAATTTTCCTGGGAATTATTTATCAGAAAGAAACCTAGACTTATATGACTAAAGAGACTGTATTATATGACTATAAGATTGTTGTTGGATATTCTGTACAAATATATATGTATACACACAGAAAAGTGTAACTGAGCCAGAAAATAAACAAGCACGGTAATTTGCTGAACACTGTAAGTGTGCAGATACCAGTATGTGTCAATTAACTCCTTAGGCTAGGTATTTACTATTTTCTCAAATACATGTTAAATTAGTATGCATAATTTCCTAGTGGTTCAATACGAACACCAGAAATTGATCAGTTTAGTCTATTTGTCAAAGAGCTAATAAATCATTTCAGCTTACCCCCTTTTCAATATTCCCAGTTTGACAGAGTGTTCCTTCAGCTGCAGGAATACTGTTGGTGACACAGCGGTTGCTTTTGCTGAGACACCACAGCTCTCTACACACTTCCTGGGAAAGAAGGCAAAAGCAAGTTGATCAGAAGTAGAGACTAAAATCATGTTTGCTTCTTCCACAAAATATATCTATGTACACTCAGTATTACTTTAAAAAGACATCCCAGGTGTTCTTCTGCTGTTGAAGCATAAGGGATGAAGATTTTGAAGGCGGTTCTTATGGAAGATGTTACCCATTTTGCAGAGTCATTTAAACATTTTTCTTTATAATCTTATTTTAGTGGACATGCAGAATTTTCAGTAATAAACTGGGGTGTCTGGATGGCTCAGTTGGTAGAGCATGTGACTCTTGATCTCAGGGTTGCAGGTTTGAGCCCCACTTTTGGTGTAGATACTGCTTAAAGAGAAAATCTTTTTTAAAAATAAAAAAAAAAAAGGAAATTTCACTACTATAGAAGAGTAGGGAGAAGGGATGAAAATGTAGAAAGGATATATGTTTATTGCTCTCAAAAATATACACTAGCAAAACTTACCAATTATTAATAAAGTGTTACCAGGTAGATGCCTTCCTTGACCTACCAAAGAATTCAAATAAAGACTATTTTATTTTATTTTTTTTAATGTTTATTTATTTTGAGTGAGAAAGAGCGGGGGCAGGGGGCAGAGAGAGAGGGTGGGAGAGAATCCCAAGTAGGTTCTGCCCTGTCAACACAGAGCCTGACGTGGGGATCAATCTCACTAACCCCAAGATCATGACTTGAGCAGAAATCAAGAGTTGGACGCTTAACAGACTAAGCCACCCAGGCACCCCAAATAAAGACCATTTTAAAAAGAAAGAAAGAGACCCTGGGCATGGGCAGGGTGTAGTTTCTAATCTAGCAATATTATTTGCAGCTCATCAGTGTAGCCCACCTGCATGAAAGGGAAATGTTGTTTTGAACAAATGCTGCTATTTATGTGTTATTTTCATAAGTGACGTATTTCAGATGTTGTTCAGAGCTGTCTTGTCTTCTTTATTATGATTTCTTATTCTACCTTAGCATGGGAGAATTACAAAACTTATTCTAATATTGGCAATATATATAAAATACTTAATTTTGTTCATACTATAGTGATCTGTCAATGTTTGTTTTATTTTATTTATTATGTTTATTTATTTTTGAGAGAAGGAGAGAGAGCGTGGGCAAGGGAGAGGCAGAGAGAAAGGGAGACGGGATTCAAAGCAGGCTCTATGCTGACAGCATAGAGCCTGACGTGCGGCTCAAACTCATGAGACATGAGATCATGACCTGAGCTGAAGTCGGATGCTTAACAAAGACTGAGCCACCCAGGCATCCCAGTCTGTCAAATCTTACTTAAAGTAACCTGGCCAACATATATCTGGGTGAACTGTTTTAACTAACAGGAAAAACAAAAACAAAAACCCTACTTTGAAGAAAGTGTTCATAATTTTCAGTTTCTTTTTATGTATCATTAAAGCTAGCACCATTACTGATATTACAAGTGTTTAGGGACACCTGGGTGGCTCAGTTGGTTAAGCACCTGACTCTTGATTTCGGCTCAGTTATAATCTCAAGATTCATGAGATTGAGCCCCGCCTTGGGCTCTGTGATGACAGCTCGGAGCCTGCTTGGGGGTTCTCTCTCATCTGCCCCTCCCCTGCTCACATTCATGCTCTCTCTCCACAAAAGAAATAAATACACATTTAAAATAAAATGTGATTGAGTTAAACTAGGACTATTTAGGATAATATATATATGTAATAAAAATATATTAATCTGGAGTGCAAAGATAAATTTATGTATAACATTCCCTTTAATGCTATTACTCCCCAACTGCTCTTTTAACTCTCAAACATAAAACTTATGTCACATAAACACAATTCAGAAATAAAGCAGTAACATATTTAATTCGCTGGTTCACCATTCCTACAAGGAGAAATGCCCCAGAGCATATAGCATATTGAAGGGACCTCTTTGGGCTCCTTTTTGCAGTGCTCCTTCCCACCAGGCACAAAAGGAGACATACAATTTCTATTAGACTTTTAAAATGCTTTTGAATAAATCTAATCTATACCTACTTTACTGACTTTATTCATCTACTCCAATGTCTACTTTATTTATCTACTTAAATTTTACTTTATTTATCTACTTTAAACTCTATTTGGAGAACTACTGAACTAGAAGAGAGTTGAAACATTAAAAAAAGAAAAACAGCAGGTACTGTGGATCATTATATAAAGATAATTTTCCTGTTCTTACAATTCAATGTATTACAAATTCTACTTTCTTTCAAACCTTCAGTTCCTATTTAATGAGAAGGTCATTTATACTATTTTGGTATTCCTTTTCTATACAAGACAGTTTCCTAATATATGTTCTTAATTATATTATTTTAGTTTAATATTAGAAAAGCAGTAGAACTAACATTTTAGGGTTTTAAAATACTGTCCTATGCATCAAAAATAACCATATTCAAAGAAAAATGCGTTCACAAAAACAGAGAAGCATTGCTAGAAAAATGTATTAAGATTACAAAAAGGGACACCTGGGTGGCTCAGTCAGTGAAGTATCTGACTTCAGCTCAGGTCATGATCTCATAGTGAGTTCAAGCCACTGCTGTCAGCACAGAGCCCGTTTCAGATGCTCCATCCTCCTTCTCTCTGCCCCTACGCTGCTCGCACACACTCTCTCTCAAAATAAATAAAAACATTAAAAAAAAAAGATTACAAAAAATTATCCATAATCCTGGACTATACATACTTCTGAACCTTTATGATTTTTATTATGTCTAAATCTTACTTAAGACAAAGTAAAAGAAGCCTAAGTTTAGATAGAACTGTGAAATGAAAAACCTGTCATTGAAAAGGACAATGTTCATAGCATCTATTAGGAAAACATACTATGCAGTCAACTTACAGAAACTCTATTTTCCAAAAGTGCCTTGAAAATCTCTACCTAAAATGGCAAGTGCTCAAGATACTATTTCCAAAACTTTAATCTCAAGGATTCACAGTACAGCCCTTTGACAGAGCCTTATTCTATAGAGAACGACACGTTTTGAAAGGTAGATTCCCACTGCTAACAGGATTATATTACCTAGTGGGCTCATGGGGATTCAAATTTTGCTAGGGCATTAACTTCTCACAAATTACTGTTTAAAGTATGCATCTGTAAATCTATGCATAGGAAATACTTACAAGATGTTAAATTACTCTCAGAAAAGGCTCTGAAGAGTTTTCAGACAAATCTCTTATCCAGAATGTCAACTTGGGTAATAAAGATTGTGGTATCTCCATTAAGACTTCCCAAGATAAAAAAAATACTCACTCGAAAGACAAAAACTAAGAAAATTTTATTTCATACCAAGATAGCAAGAGGCACACCTCATGAAAGAATATAGGAACACATTTGTATGTTCAGAAATACCCTTCTTTAAACTGCTGGATCCTAGAACATGAATGCATATATTTATTGCATAGGTATATGCATATGTATATCAGTTGCCATGTAAGTACCCCAAAGTAGGTCCCAAGCTTGTTCACTAATAAGTTAAATGTATTCTGAAATTTTTTGGCTCTTGGGGAATTTATACAGCAGCCATCATAGTAGGGGTTGCCCAGCTGGCTCAGTCAATGGATCATGTGACTCTTGATCTCAGGGTCAGGAGTTCAAGCCCCACATTGGGTGTAGAGACTGCTTAAATAAATTAAAAAAAAAAACCACAAAAAACCATCATAGTAGATGGATTAATATCCCTAAATAAAATATATTAGATAGAGTACAGTTTTGAGAGAGATTGATGATTTTTTTGACTACCCACCAGCTTAGCTCTAGAAGAACATAGTTCTCTTTCACATCCTCATAATCCTTTATAGGAGAAGATAAGATTTATTAAGATTACTCTCATGATTTCTATGAACTAATAAGCTATTTCCTGTGTGTTATGATGGTTCCCTTCTCTAACCCTAAAATTTATTTTGGGAGACTCTCTAGGAAAAATGTGGGTTTTGTGCTTGCCCTTGAGTTCATGGAAAGTGAGAGAAGTTATCAACAGTGTTCATTAAGGGAATCTCTGTTACATAACACTGAAAATTGGAAATGGACTCTCTAATTTCATGGACTCAACTTGTAACCAATGAGGAGGTTTGCCTAGTAAGACAAAATGACATTATTTCCCATTCATTCAAGAATATTATTAGAACATCTACCAGGCATTCACCTGGCATTCACCAGGCATTATGTTAGTGTTATGAAAAAATAACACTATCACAGAATTTACAGGAACCAGAGAGAAGGTAGGGTATAATCAGACAGTAGCTCAAATGTTATAGACTGGTACTGCTCTTTAGAGTTTTTGATATTCTGTGACGAAATTAGAAGAATGACGTCAATGTGGTAAGATTTTTCATGAAACTAATTTTTTTATTTTAATGGCCTCTTCTAATTTATTAGTTTTATTCCTTTTACTTTTTATGTGCTACAATACACTGTAAGGTTCCTGAAGCAGGGTGTGGGTGCTAATGGCAGTCTTTGCAAACTGTTGGCAAAATTAAAAATTGGCATCCCTGTGTTGATTTGCTAATTTTCAGGGAGAAATTTTCTTTGCCTACAAAAACCTAAAAGCTTGTGAACCACTCATTGCCCAAAACTTGATAATCAATATTTTTTTCAACATATCAATGTATTTATTAATCGGTTGTCTCTTATGTCTTACCACTATCTTCTGAATTCAATTTCTTTCCTCTTGACATGCATCCTGTAAGAGTTAATTTAGCAAGGAACACTTGTTCCTAATGGTCTCAAAATAATTTATTTAGCCTTCAATTTTAAAATGATATTTTAATTGTATATAGAATTTTAGGCTAACATTTATTTTATCTCAGCATTTGAAGGTGTTAAGTTCATTGTCACCTGTACACTATGGAGGCTGATGAAAATCATTTCTCGGTCTTAATCACTGTTTCTTTGTGATGAACTCTAGTTGCTTTCGAGAGTTTGTCTTTGCTGTAGTGCAGTTTCACCACCGTTATCTAGGTGTTCTTTTATTTATCTA